TTGCCCTCCATGTGCCCCCCCGAAAAATGAATCCTAGAGACGCCACTGTATGTAGCTACACGCCATACGCAGCAAATTGTGATACACTTTGTTCTGACACCTTTCTATCATGGCCAGCATTAAAGGACCACTCTAGGCACCCAGACCACTTCAGCTTAATGAAGTGGTCTGGGTGCCAGGTCCTTCTAGGGTTAACCCATTGTTTTATTAACATAGCAGTTTCAGAAAAACTGCTATGTTTATCAATGGGTTAAGCCTTCCCCCAAAGCCTCTAGTGGCTGTCTCATTGACAGCCGCTAGAGGCGCTTGCGTGCTTCTCACTGTGAAAATCACAGTGAGAGCACGCAAGCGTCCATAGGAAAGCATTATGAATGCTTTCCTTTGCGACCGGCTGAATGCGCGCGCAGCTCTTGCCGCGCATGCGCATTCAGCCAACGGGACGGATTGGAGGAGGAGAGCTCCCCGCCCAGCGCTGGAAAAAGGTGAGTGTTTACCCCTTTCCCCCTTCCAGAGCCAGGCAGGATGGGGTCCCTGAGGGTGGGGGCACCCTCAGGGCACTTTAGTGCAAGGAAAACGAGTATGTTTTCCTGGCACTATAGTGGTCCTTTAAGTCTTTCAGCAATTTGAGCAACAGTAGCTCTTCTGGGGTGTATTCAAACCAGACGGGCTAGCCGTGGGTGCCCATGACCCTGACACCAGTCAACTGGTTGTACTTACTTGCACCACTTAGGTAGGTGCATAGAATTAGTAAGGTTCGTATTACCAGTTTTTACTGCTGGCTTAATGATACAAAAGACAAGGGGAAATGGTCACGGTACTTGTCATGGTCAGAGACAATAGATACAAAACTGAGATGACTAACTGAGTTCAAGGGTAACAGAAATTGGGGTAGTTAGAAACAAGCCAAAGTCAGATACAAGGGAATCAAAACAAACAATATACATTCTCTCGAATAACCTGATAGGAAATCACATCAGGCCAAAACCCGTGGGGTCAAAAAGCTGTATAAAAGCTTATGTGCTTACTGGCTGATTCAACTCTCTCATGAGACCCCAAAAAGTGTGGGGACAAGTCAGAGGAAGCCTGCAAGCCTCAGTGTCCCAATTGACACTTGCAGTGTGCATGCCGCAATCAGGTAATTATTGTGACAATTAGTACTATGAAGAATAAAGGGAAGTTCAGCTCTGAACCAACTGGCGAGATGGGCAATGTCAAATTGGTAATTCCTGAGCACTACCCAAAGTGATTGGACAAACTTTCAACTAGGCATGGTACCATGAATGCGTTTAATTGTATAAGTGAATGAAAGTTATTTATGATATGTTAGTAACGTTAAGGTCAGAATAGTTTATTGGAGGGGTCTCTATTATTTATTAAATAATTTACATTATTACACAAAATGATTGTATAATTACAGTTTTAAGTTGTGTGGTTAACTATACAGAAAAAAAATGTATGCCAAATGTTTTATTTACTTTAATTTACCAATAGCATGAACATATTTATCTAGTTCTTTTTGCATTATATGTTATATATTTTTCTCAGCCTTTCCATTTTTCACTGTTTCACTTTATCATTTGGTTTCCTTTTTTTTAAATGAGGTTTTAAGAACAAAATGGATGCTTTCAGGGGTGTGGCCTGGCACCCAAGATGACCGCACGTGTTTCTTAGCAGCTCCTGCTAAATCGACTTTAAATTTGCTGGCACAGGATAATTATAATAATAGGGAACCTTTAATTGCTGCCAGTACTGAAGTGTCTGAGTGTGTTTGATACTTACCAAGTCCAATTCTGAAGCCTCCTGAGATGGACAGCCTGGTGGCTCGGAGAGGCGACCGATCTCCAGACTCTGGGCTCGCAACTCTTCACAAGATGCTTATTTTGGGCCGGTAGGTGATATCCTTTTCCCCACTGAGTGTCCGCCTGAAAACAGCTTGGTTTGGGGTAATTAGGGGTGTCAAGTGGCAGAATCTACAGGTCTGCATGCTCGCAGCCAAGATGGCCTCTATACGGGAACCTGATCTCTGAGCCTCCCACGAGGAACACATCAAGAGGGCTATTGAACACTTATTGTTACAGCCACGCTTACTGAATGGGCACAGAGCCCAGCAGATACAGACATATATTGACAGCCCACTGTAGCATTAAAATCGAGGTCTGCACTGAACCGCAATGCCGAGGTGCTAAAAGTGGAGAGGCAAAGAGGGAGGATGCAGAAAGCACCTCGACTCAGAAGACGCCACTCTGCCTCAGTGGGCCTTGGTCCATACAGGGACATTACTCCTAACACAGCTTACATCCTCGGGAAGCGCCATCCGCGAGAAGTACCCAAGACTCTGTCCGTACCATCAACAGCAATCGGATAAGTGACAAACAAGTGCTGCACCGTGCTAAGGACTGGGGCTGGTGGGGTATTTATGTGGAGAAACAGTCTCTTAACTTACCACTAGGAAGGCTGTATTGGTTAGTGGGCATAGTTGACCTCCCTTCTTGATATCAGGTCCAGGCTTCTTATTTCTTTCGGCCTTCAGGCTCATATGGGGCAGTGTTGTGTATCCCTGTACCCAGCTTAGGATTTATGTTGTAAGGTTTAAGTTTGTTCTGTTCACATTTGTTTTCCTTAATAGATGACACCAGTGGGATCAAAATCCTATGACAGCCTAGCATTAATTTCTATTTTCAATTTTATAAAAAAATGGGGCTTTCAAATCTCTTAAGTGACATGCTGTTCTGCTCGTCTTGTGACAATAGCCTGATTACAAATGCTACTTGTTTATTGCATAACCACTATATGTCTAAGCTACCATGTCACAACTGTAAGCATATGGGATTTTACCCTGTGCCTCAATAAATACTGTGGCACATAAATACTGTGGCACATTCTGGACATCCCATGTTGGAGTTTACCTCTATTCAGCCTAGAACAACTTGAATTATCCTCAAGCATGACTCATCTGTATAGCCTGTTTCTACAAATCCGGTTATAAGTAATAATGTGCTCCATTTAAATAGGACCAATTGGTTTCTCTATATAGTTGCAAGAAAAATCTTGGGGCTGCACTGATGACCATAGATGACAACGACTTAACTTTTTTCATCAACTCTCACTAACATCAGAGAGATATTTTGGAGGAAAAAGAAGTTCCTATCTGGCAATAAATATGTAGAGGTAACAAACCAGATTTTTACTTTAGTTCTATAAATAATATCCTTTAAAATAGAAACTCAACTTAACAAAGTCTACCGAACATTGTTATCTTGCCATCTCTTTCCAAAAATCCAAAATAATATAGATACTGGCTGTTAAAAACATTAATTCAATTACCGCTTGTTTCCCTCTATAGCAAGCCTATTTTTGGAATAATATCACCGTTACACAGGTTGTATAGTTGAATGAAGATAAAATGTCTAGCTATAATGACTCCTCTGAGTCAAATAATTCTCAAAACAGAAAGACTAATAGGAGTGGAGGGGGAGGGGGGGGGGTGTCAGACAAAGGTTTGTATCAGGAAGACATGCAATTCAATTAGAAAAGATAATATTCATCTGTTTATAGAAGATAACATGAATTCATTTAATAAAAGAATAATATCTATCAGTTTCAGCCATGGTTTATTTTGCTACGTTAACCAGTAAACCAAATTTTCATCTCATTTCTTTGTTATACTGGTGGCTTTACCTGCACAGTGGGTTCTAATAATCCCCTTGCAATACATCCTAAAACAGCATTTATAATGTTATCTTCAGTTCTGTTTGCACATGAAGTCCGTATGAGAACAGGAGTGCTAATAGCAATTCTTTTTCTAGTAAAAATTTACTAACAAAGGAGAGAAAAGCATACTGATTTGCCATATTACATGTACTTAGTGCACTAGGGTGGTATTACTCATTTACATGTTGTTCTATAACAAGATTAAAGGGTTACTTTAATAACTACATTAAAGACTTACTTCAAGCATTATAACCACTATATTGGGGCAAACTACTTAGCAATAGTTAGCATCTTACTTGGGCCCTCACTGGGCTCTGGTGGTCCAGTGAAGCTGTGGTGATCAAGATCATTGTCTGAGAGTGACAGCTGACTGCTATAAGCTAATTACAGACATTCTGTGCAAAGAAAGTTGCACAGAACATTAGCCAGCCCGAATCTCTAGCTCTGGATTGGCTGATGACACATATATGATGTTGCTGGTAGTGAAGTTACATCTCCAGCAGTTAAGGGATTAACCCCTTAATGACCAGACCAGTTTTTAATTTTCTTACCGTTAAGGACTAGGGCTCTTTTTACATTTCGCGCGTCTGCCCAGACAGTCCCAGATAGTCCCCCATAAGAAGAAGACCAAAGACCAAGCGGGGGGAACGGCGGCGATCGGTAAGTACATGCAGAGGGAGGGAGAGTAGGGGTTAATTCTTTTTTTTCTTTTTAAATATAACTTTTTTTACATTTACTGTGTGCCTCGACCCCTCGAGGCACTCAGTACAGGCAGAGCATCGGAAGAGCATCTGGGGGGGAGCGATCATCCGGTGTTCCCCAGGGGCCATCGGCAGTGAGGGAGCTATTGCAGGGATGCCTTAACTTCGATGCCTTAACATCGAGGCATCGCTGCAATACCATTAGAGCTCCAGCACTCTAATTCCCAGCGGATGTATCAGGTACGTCCACAGTCCTTAAGGACCTTTTTTGTTGGACGTACCTGATACGTCCAAGATCGAAGTGGTTATTCTTTGTAAGTTTCAAACACTGCACATATAGACTCTAGTCACCATGATTACTACAAATTACTGAAGAAGTCATGGTGCTTGGAGTAATCCTTTAAAAAAAGATTTCCAATTCAAACACAAGATGGGAGTAGGATGTTGGGTGGGATATATATAAGTTTCAATGTGGAAAAACCAGGTGAGATAGAATGTTTTGCAAAGAAAACGGGTAATTTTGTTTTGAATATTTTTATTATCACAACATAAACGCGGATATCAAACATATTATTATTAAATCAAGTAGTCGCCTACGCAGAGGCGTGTATATCGGTACATGGAAATATATGCAGATATTCACCTGCGCAGAGGCGTGTATATCAGATCATGTGCATAATAATAAACTGTCTTCTATTTCGTTGCGTGCGTTTCGTAAAATATAAACTTATCGTGCTCAGTTATAAGCCTGCGTTTGCCTACGCAGAGGCCTATTATGTCAGTAGTGTAATCGTAACCGAATAACAAAATGGCGCCATCAGGTAGTAAAACCTATATACTGCGATAATATATATGACTGCACCCGGGTAGATCCTATAATTATATAAATCCACCATCATTAACTGAAGCCTGCAGATAATCTGATGGCGGCATGCGGCAACGAAGTGGCATGTTAAGAGGCAGGCATTGCGGCCCATATCTGTGTATGTTAACAGGTCTTAACCATATAATTCTGTTAAGGAAGCAGTAATACATAACATTAACCTTAAGCCCAATGGGGCAATGTGACCGAACAACATGGTCGTTTTTATAATGAATTAATAAACGTAAATACATACATTTTTTGGCATGGGCTAATCTTTCGCTTTTAGATATTAAAATGACATTTAGGCTTGTGTTTAAGTAAGCGGGCTTTCAAAATATATCATGTAATGATTAAATAATGGGAGTTTAGGGGCTTAATTGATTGCTGTATAGCTTCCTCTCCACACGTTTAAACAGGGTAGTATGTTGTAAGTCTTTAATTCTTGCTTTCAGGTAAGCAGTAACTGTTGTCCCTAAGATAGGGCCCACAAAATCTATATGCTCGAGATTACAAACACATCTAGAAAATAAGCAAAGAACGGTTAAACTGTAAGCAGGCTGTTTCTTAACATAGGGTGATACGATGGGGGTATAAACCTCTGGCTTTAGATCTACGAATCATTACATTTATTAGAGAATAATTAACTAAGAATTATAGCAGCACAGGACTTTATATTAGTCGGACAAGGGCCGTCTATGGCACAGCAGCAATATGCCCCTCAGCCCGCCGAGTCTCCATCCATCTCCCCCAGGCAGGCCTCAGCCCGCCAGCAGGACTCTCCATGGCTCTGTGGGCACTCAGAAGCAGGAACCGTCCACATGACTGTCCCGCCACCACCTGGTCCACAGGGCTCACAGCATCAGGGACAAGTCTCTCCGGGGACCCGGACTGGTTGCTGGAGAATCCATCTGGAGGTCGGTAGCATCGAAGGCCACACACACTGTCCAAGCCGGACCCCCACAGTAGGTGAGTATTTTTCACTGTGTCCCTTCTCAGAGCAGTCGGATGCGCAATTAAATGGATTTTAAACAGCCGATTGCAAGTATCCACCGCTGTGGCTGTCCCCATATCTGTATGGTCCAATCTTCTGACAGGCTATTCTGCAGGCAGCCTTTGCCAGTGTAGGCGATCGGCACAACACCAGCCCGGGGACTCCCGTCACCATGAGGGCCGCCGCCATGAGGTCAGGATTACCCCCGCCGACCATGGGGGGGGAGCGGGGCCACACCACCGGCAGGCACCGGCCGCGTTATGTCAGGGCTCTCTCGCACCGCCGGCACTGCTCAATTGCCTCTTGAGGCTCCAAGTCGTGAGTAGGCCGGGGATATGGGCACCCACCTTCCAGTTTGCTATTGGTGGCTATCGGGTATCTTTATGATGCTGGGGTTATGCTCTTCACCGGTACTGCGGAGATGTCAACTTTGGGGTGTTCAGCACACACTTTTAGTGCCTTTTTCATGTGCTCGGGTCTGGAGCTAAAGTTCATGGCTGCCAGTCGGCCCGGCGGCCCAGCCCCGCCCCCCCCAGAAAACGGGTAATTTTGAATGTAATTAATATTTTGCCAATTAATCTTTCAGGGCTGGATGCATCGAGCAAAGAGAAAATGAGTAGTGGTGTATCCATGGAAAACAGCACACCAGTCAAGCCATAAGACTTGCTTTTCCCACAAAAATCCCAAATCTGCAGTGATGTTACAACCGCAAAGTATTCTGGGTGGGCATATGCAAATTAGTTTAACAAAGAATCACATTTTTGCCTCATTCCATTTTAAACATGGATACCTTTTAATCTGTGTTTGTAGTATACAACTGCTTGGAACACAATTTAGGAAAAGATGCAAAACCAGTGAACCACTTATGGACAGCCGTTTTGTTGCTAATGCAACTCATTACTAGTTTTCTTATTGAGGCTTGGTAGTGCTTGGGAAGCAAAATCCAAATAGGTTATGGTGGGGAAAAAATTGTGATTGAAAACCCCTTCCACCTGAAGTCTGTGGATAGTTAATGCAATGTTAAACGAAAATCTGCACACCAGTCAAGCCATAAGACTTGCTTTTCCCACAGAAATCCCAAATCTTATATATATAAATACAACGTACAAAGTACAATGTACCCTCATATGAATCAAAACCTTAAAGGGACTCTCTAGACCTCTAAAGCACTTTGACTTTATGTGTGAAGAGTGTGTCCAATTTTTTAATTTTACAAAAAGTGCAATTTTATAAATTAACTTAGTTACACCCCCTGGCTTTTTAATCAGACAACTGGTAGACAGCCGCTAGAGGAGGACTTAACCCCGCAAGGTAATTATTGCAGTTTATAAAAACTGCAATAATAACAATTGCAGGATTAAGGATGGTGGGAGTTGGCACCCAGACCACTCCAATGAGCAGAAGTGATCTGGGTGCCTGGAGTGTCCCTTTAACCCCTTAAGGACACATGACATGTGTGACATGTCATGATTCCCTTTTATTCCAGAAGTGTGGTCCTTAAGGGGTTAAACTCAAGAGACAACAATTGCTCAGAGAACCTGCTTTGCAAAGATTGAGTTGCATTGGGAAGTCTGTGACTGGACAGCTACCAAAAGTCTGAGCGGACTAGAAGGGGAGGGCTTGAAAGGATTCAGACATGAGATCAGTAGCTTTTACAAGCTTTTTAAGTTATATCCCCAATGTAAAAATACACAATTAAATGCCTGTTTTCATTGGGGGACATATCTACTAAACAGTGATTTTTATTTATTTGTATTATTTCTAGGATTATTTCTGCTGTAATATCGACATGCATATATGTTTCTTGCCTGAATAACATCCACAGGGAGCCTTATCGCATCAGTCAGATCCTATAACAGTAGATTATTTAAGTCTGAACTAGCTACAGTTACCATCCTTCCTGACAGTCTGCGTGATATGACTTGTATCACTGTGGTACTAGTAGTGAGTAAGTAACCATCAACAGCATTTCCAACAACATACTGTGCAAAATTCACAGCAGCAGCAGATACATTTAAAGGTACCACTCACCTGTTTTTGTCCCTTCAAGAAAGTGCCTCACAATGCATGGCCTTGAAAGGTAGTTTACTTGTGTTTCCAGGGTATGCACTAGACTTTAGACTAGCGGTTCCCAAACTGTGTGCACACGGGAGCGCCACAAGATATTTTCTGGTGCTATTCTGGTGCTATGAACTGTGCTCTCTCCTGCCGGCTCTGCAGGATCAGAGATCTCCCTCTCCTGCCCGCTAGCACTTTGCTGACAGTCGGCAGGAGAGGGAGTACCCGGGGGAGCTCTAACCTGCAGCTCTGCCGAAATGTTCTCTTTCGAGCTCAGAGCGTTGCTGCTGTTACCATGGCAATGCTATAAATCTCGCGAGCGGTAACTCTAGCATCTCCTGAGGATCCTAGAGTTCACTGTCACCACTTGGATCACCAGGGCTTCCCCACCGGACCACCAGGGATTACAGTAAGCAGGGAGGTGGGATATAATTTTTATTTTTAATTTAAAATAAATAAAAGTATATATTTATTAATTTGCCCTCCTACCCCCACAGACCCCACACCACACAATAGCTTCCCCATACACACACACTGCCCCCAATATGTACACACTGCCCCCATACACACACACTGCCCCCCCACACACATTGTACCCCTCACACACTGTACCCCTTCACACACACTGTACTCCTCATGCACAAACTGCCCCACATACACACACACAAACTACATCCTTCACAAACACAATGCACCCCTGTACACACACTGCACCCCTCTCACACACACGCACCCCTGTACACACACACACTCACACTGCAACCCTCACACACTCCACCACTCCAACACACATATATTGCACCACACACAGACACACACACACAAACACACTACAGGTAAGTTCTTAAACAATTTCACTACTTACCCTGGGAGGGCACTACTGGCACCATAAACACGACTAACGTAATGTAGTGGTTATTGTGCCTGGATTTTTTCTTTAAATAATCTACCAGTGCTACTACCAAGATTAGGGGGCCCAGTATATGCTGCAGCAACCTAGAACATTTTTTGTCTTGGAAAAATATTGAAATATTAAGGTCGCCTTGAACCTAAAAAGTTTGGGAACCACTGCATTAGACATCAAATCTGGGTGTGCTGGCATGCAGGATTAGTTCAGAAAGAAAATAATAAACTCTTAAGAATACAAGAGAAGAGGTTATTTACTAAAGTGAGAATTCAAAGTGAATGTTAAGTGCATTTCAAACTGAAAGCATTGTTGAATTATTATTTTTCCAGTTCAAATATTTTAATCTTACATTTGAAATTCAATTAGAATTTTCACTTTAATGAATAACTCTGGGTATGAAAACCCCTGAAGGATGGAGTAATTGCAAGAATATTAACATCTTATTTGGAGAAGTAACAGACAAAATAAAATGAAAAGGCAAAAAAAGGAAATCAACTTTCTCTGGAAAATATTTAATTTATTGCAATTCATGTTGAACTACATAGAATCATAAAAAATGTATAAAAAAATCTCTAAACTGACAGATTGTTTTTCCAAGACCCACATTTAAGTAAATCTTTATTTAAGCTAGTGTTGAGTTTCACAAAAATAGCTGTTAAAAAAAAGTGAAGAAAGATCTTTCTTACCTTCCCAGTAGCGCTATATCCCTTGCGAGTAGCATGAGTAACAGTATTTTAAAGTGTTTCACCATGTGTTGACATTCAGTTCCTGTGAACAAGGTGATTGTCCAATTACTCTAAAAAAGCCTCAATTTGAAAATGTAATGTTAATAAATGAACACCAGTCATTGCCCATACTTTCAATCATCTTTACAGTAAGCAAAAACATATGTAGCCTTTAAACTAATCAAATAATTCTGAAACCACTGTGCACTTCAACATATGTCTAAGCAATCAATTACACCTTCATTTATACATTTAAAATACACATACATTTAGATAGACGTCAACACCAT